TTTTTTTTTTTTTGTAAAGGAAAAATACGCGAAAATACCTACATACAAACAAACGCATTTACAATGCGCAAATAGCCACGAAGACATTATAATTAATATGCAAGCATTGACAGAAAGTAGCATACAAGTAGCAATAAATAAATAAAAAGATTAAAAAACACGAAAACAAGATTTAAAAAAAAAATATCGGCAATTTGTTTAAACTACTGGCAATGGCAATCCGACATTCGCTATTATTTGTTGCCGGAGGACCTGACAAGTTGCTGCAAGGATTCAAGTCCTCCTGTGTACATACATACATACATACATATGCATGTATTCGCATTTATCGCAGCGCCGAGGGACATGCGCTTTTCAATTATGCCGCAAAACGTTGCAACCACGAAATGAAATTGTAATTATTATTGCTTTCAATCTCGCACACAATAATTTTTCTCGCGTTTTCCGATTTTTATTTCCCATTTTGCTAAAGTGGTTTGTCAGTGCTGGGTGCGTGAGTAAGTGAGTGGGTTTTGGCCTGGTACAACGGGTGTCTGTCCGGCTGCGCATTGCGTATGTGCATAATTAATATTCACATATACACTTCGACGCGCTGACCACTCATAAATTCTTAATTTCCGGCTTTAAACGGCCTGAGGTCATAGAGGCCGCATGACAGCTGCATATGTATGTACATATTTATAAAGTAGGGATGTTACGGAGCTTCGACTTCGATTGCGAAATGTCGGAAATTCCGATTGATTTCAACCTTTTAATTTGTTCTAAACTAAGTGACTGTTTTATAGATTGAATAATGAGGCCAAAAACATGTGTTATACATACATATGGAAATATTTCAGCGTAGTTGATGTAAATGCGGCAAGTTGTACAATATGTGAGAAAAAGTGGTGCAGATCTACTCATTACAAAGTAATTTAAGGCCTTTGCATGCTACTAAATACGAAGAATGCAGTGAGTTTGAAAGTGAAAGATCACCCCTCGGCTTCAAGCCCACTTCAAAAGATCAAAAATACGATTGACTCTCAAAGACGTTTTGATGAAAAATTAAAGAAGGGCTTTTTCAAATAATAAATCAATTGAAAATGATAATTTGATTTCTCAGATAAGTGGATCTTTTACTCTGCTCCGACTTTTGACTCCGACTACGACTTCCATAAATCAAATTTAAAACTCGGATTCCGACTCGGGTTCCGGTAAACTCATTTTTCGTAACACCCTAATATAAACACAACAAAAGTAGTAAGTATTTATATACATATGTATGTACGTATGCACATAAAGGGTGCATTCGTTGGGGTCGTTAGCTGTGATTCTGCGGAGGTAAGCCAAGCTATGTAAGCAAAGCCCCGGCGGAACGGTTAAATATTAATTAATTTCAAAATTAAAAAAAAATACGTGTACCCTTATTTTCGATATCCTCCAATTTTGGGGTGTCTGAAAAAACTCTCCGTTCTTCGTGTGGGTTATTTTCGGTGGGAAATGGTAGAAATTGTGCGACTAGTTTTAAAAAATAAATACTTAACTGTGCATGGGGTTCACTGGGTTTGTTCTTGTCAGGTTAAGTAGCAGTACGTAGATGGCTGGTAATGGAAATAGTGATGGTAACAGTAATGGTAATGATAATGGTAATAATAATGGTAATAGTAAAGATAAGGGTAATGGGAACGATAAGGGTGATGGTAGTGGTAATGGTGAGAGTAATTGTAATGGGAGCGGTAATGTTAATGGTAATTACTGTGACAATGGTAAAGGTTACGGTAATGATAAAAGGAATGGTAATGGGAATGGTAATTACTATGCTAATTGTAACGGCAATGATAATGACAGTGATAATGGGTAATGGAAATGGTAATCGTGTGGGTAATGCTAATGGTAATGGTAACGATAATGGTAATGTTAATAGTGTAAAAAATATTAATGGTAATGTTATTTGTAATGGCAATGCTATTGGTAATTGGTACTTGGACAATACCTCTGCTTGCTTGCAAGCTCTTTTCTCTAATAGACCCTAAGTTTTCTATATCCACGACACATTAGGGTTCTGAACCATCTCTTTTTGTCCAGTGAGTGCAATTCGGGCTAGCAGACTATTACTGGTTGTGATTCTAGAAAATGCTATGGCAATAGGAAATCAAATCGTGAGACGGTTCGTATTCTTAGACTCTAAAATCTCTCCACGTAGCTCGTTGTATTTCACCCGCCTATGATGTTTTACTATGTTTTGCATCTCCTAGTTAAGATCCCTTATAGAGGGTTCGCCGAATCTGATTATTAGTTTCAACCGCCGCGAGTAGGTGTCGCTAAGGAACTGGTGAGTAGGCTTTAAGATGATTCCAAACATTTTCGGTAGTTCATATATCCCGCGGAGCTGCTTCCGGTACACGTAAAGATGTGTCTTGATGACCCCTGCAAATTTCCCTAACCCTGACAAATTCTTCACAAAAATTAACCAATTTATACAGGATTATATCGCTGAAGCAACACACCTTTCCTCTTCAAAACGTCTCGTATCTCATATCAATTGAAAAAATTTCAACTTCGTAAAACTGACACCCTATATGCAAACCATACATATGCATGTAGACCTACATTCCTGCATCCTCTATACTTATGTATGTAGCAGAGTCAACAAAGGCCATGCCATCATTGTGGTGCGCGAGAAAATATGGAAAAAAGTTTGTCGATTAAAAAGCTTTAAACGCGCAAGAAGTGCCGTATTTATTCTGCATTATTATTTGAGAGCTATTAACTTATTGTAGATTTTCCACGATTGCATGCTGACTGCTTATATGTATGTATGTACTTGCATGTATGTTAATATATTTACATGTATGCACTTATTTATATGTGTACATTCGGTCGGCAGCGAAAATTTCGCAAACCATTTAAATAAAAAGAAAGCAAATAAATAAAACTGTAGTTATATTAAAATTATAATGGAAATCTTTATTTGCAGATACATATGTATGTATGTGTGTATGTGGCCATAATTATGGTTGCAAAAGTGTTGAACCGACAGTGTAGCACTAGCGGGTTGTTGACGCTCTCACAGCTTTGCAAACAGTGATTGCTGCATAAATTCCGGATATACATACATACATTATACATATTTAGTATGCATGTGGTAATGGATAAGCGAGACTATGGCCGCTGGCATGCATAATTCATGTGAATTAATTTGAAATGTAATTCTACTTATGAAGTATCTACTTATTGATTACATCGGTATGTACATACACACGTGTCAAAATATTTATTTTAATTTCTTCGATATTTATATTTTGTTAATTTATTGGCAATTACATACTATGTATAATTATTTGTATAGCTACATTGTAGGGTGGTCCTTAAAATATTGACATTTAAATTTTGTATGGGACACGCACCCTGCCGTACTGCTAGTGCCCTCACCGTTGCTCACCAGTAAACCCGTCATTAGTCACCGTCATACGCTCCGACCCGACCTCTCTGCAATAAAATAATGTCATCCCTCTCTCTCTCTCCCTTTCTTTGGGTGTAAGGTTGCCGGCATTCTAGCTGTAGTCTAGTCTAATGGGACCTTAGCTGAACTCTTGATCGGTTGAGCTTATCTCGGCCATCGACAAAACCCACCTCATAAGTTATGTGATACACATTTGCAGCACCTAAATGAATCGCTTATCGTAAGTGAATTTTCGCTTCTGAAACATAATACTGCGAACTTTATCCTTCATCGTTTTTCTGGCACAAACTTTTAATAGTCCAAGATTATTCAATGCAGCCTTAGCTGGTTCAAATTTTTATGAAAAATAATGAGTAAAGGCTGATGAAAATTTTGCTCCGGACATTTTCATTGTGAAGGCCGTGGAGAACAAAGAGGTGGCCGCAGGTGGCTTTCTGGACTAGAGGATGCTAAAAATAACTCGGAAAACTCTTTCATTGATTCTTGCGTCCGGCGCAAATGGGTTGAGTAGAGTAATAAAAGGATGGTGGAGTGAAGACCTCGCTATTATGATTCATCACAGTAGAAAAAAAGACTTAAAGGGGGTTCGAAGATCATGGCTACGAGAATAAATTTTTAAACGTAAACCCGAAAATCACCAACATAGTTAATTTCGCCAGAAAAAGGAAAAAGAAAGAAACAAAATAAGACAAATATAAGGGAGTTATCCCTGGAAAAAAGCTCTTATGGAATCCGTAACTACATACATACTTAGATTGATCTATAGAAAAACAGGTCTGGATTTATATTTACCGCAAGCATCAGACACAAACTGGCAAGGTCGCTGCTTTGTTATTATTTCCAACTGCATTCTACGAGTAACATATGCTGCCCCCGTGCAGTAAAGGAAGCCAAAAGTGAAGAGCACGCCGGCCAAGCTCAGCAAACGCCAATGACTACCCTGCGTGAGAAGCACTAGTGCAATGGTTATGCCCCCACTGTACATTGTTATCTATGAAGGGGCTTTAATGTTTACAAGAAGACTTCTCTTAGAGGACAATTAGGAGAATAAGAAGCTTATACATCCATTCACTGCCCGGATTATGGAACAAGACGAAGACCTGTGCCATAGTTTCGCGGAGCTTTGTTTTCCGAGATTTAACATTACATATCCGGGCATTTTTCTTTCTCTAATTGGATAATACACAAGGCGATCCAGGAATCAGGCTTAATCCAATAAAGTTGCAGATATTCTCGGCAAGAAACGGGGTGTACTAGGGTTCACGGGTGCAACCTGCATTTCATTTGTCTACCAGGGAACTCCGTTAGGTAAAATTATTGTATATGGATAATGATGAAGTGCAACATTACTAGAGAAATAGGCAAGGTGGTATGCAGGATCAGCCCATCTTCTCGGAAATGCCAACAAAAAAGACTGAAGCTGTCTTTTGGAATTGTAAGAGGCATAATTGAAACTCTTGCCCGTCTTTTTACTGACCACTGCAAGGTATTGAGGCACCTGTTAAAGTTAACTTATTTAAATTACCCAGGAACAGCACAGCATATTACATTACACTGCAAAGCCTTATTAAGTTCAGATTTTGCTTCTTAGGATCACCACACCTAGAAGCAAATAATCTAAATATCATTCAAAAAGGGACCTCGCAAGACGCCTTAACGATAAGCTTATAAAAGAAAGCCTGTAATCAAGAAAAAGTATTTTCAAATATAGCGTCCTTGGCCGCGTTAACTAAGTGATTTGCTGCCTTCTCTTCTCTGCCTATAATGACATGGCTATGCACATTTTGCCAAGTATTTGATCAAGCTTCTCCTTCAATTAACAGTGTGCATTGTTTTCATGCTGTCTCACAATTTAACGCCACTTTCTAGTTAAGAATTTAAACTCAATAAAATAAATGATAAAGCATGCTGCTAGTGCCAGCGCACTCAATCTTTTGTACTAAATTCCTTTTCCAGACAATACAAGTTTTATGCTCATTCATTGCAAAGTGTGGAAAAGGTAGTATGTACGTATATAATTATGCCCAGCAGTACTATTGTCTATGTCACATAATAAAATACATAAATGAAAAGCCAATTTGTTGCACATTCCGTTGTAAACTTAATTTTAATTGAAATTAATTTCGGTCATCTTCTCTGCCATTGTATGACCTACATCGGCTACAGTGTCCCACAGTTATCCAACAACAATCGAATGGGCAAAAACTTGACCTCAGCGTGAAATTTATAAATAAAATATAAAACGTGGCTTAAGTAGGCTTTTTGTTTTTTAATTGAAATAAAATAGCGCCATTGGATAGGTGTCTTAATTAGGTAAAGTGAAAAGAATTGAAAACAAGCGAAATCCAGAGCAAAGAAAGTAAACCAATTAAAGTGATACACGGCAATGACGGTAATTAAATATGCATTTCAATGATTGTATGTACATACATATTTGAGACGTATGTACGAGGGTGGTCCCAAAAGTACGCGGCCTAACCTAGAGATGGCGGTAGTTGTTTGAAAAAAATCACTGTGAATCACTTAAGAAGTACATAATTTATAAAGCATATGTTTCAAGTTTGAAGACGCCACGTTGTTTAGCCGCCGCTTGGCAGCCGTCAATAGAGAACGTTTTCAGTGAATTTGTGAAAACGGAGAAAGTTGGTCATCGTTATGTGATACAATACTCGTTTACAACAGTAAAATATTGGGTAGCAGAGTTTAAGCGAGGCCGTACGAGTTGCCAATACGAGCATCGCAGTGGTCGACCAAATGAGGTGACGACTCCCGAAATGGTGAAGAAAATCCACAAAGCGGTAATGGATGATCGTCGGCCGAAAGTGCGTGAGCTAGCAGATATAGTAGGCATTTCAAAAAGTACGGTACATCGTATATTATGTGAAGATTTCGAAATGAGGCTGTGTCCAAGATGGATGCCGCATTTGCTCACACTCGACCAAAAAGAGTGTCGTGAAGAGGTTTCAATTGAGTGTTTAGGGAATATTAATGAATTAATGTTTGAATTGCTACCTCCCTCGCCCCCTGGGACTATTTTCTGTTCCTCAACTTCAAAAAATGGCTTCGTGGTCAAAGATTTTCTAACGATGAAGAATTGATGTCGGCAGTTAATGGCTATTTTGAGGAGCAAGACAGTTCTTATTATAAAAAGGGTATCGAACTTATTGAGCATCGCTGGGAAAAGTGTTTAGAGTTGAAAGGAGATTATGTTGAAAAATAAATATATTTTTATCCAAAATTTTTCTGTTTTCATTGTTAGGTCGGGTACTTCTGAGGCCACCCTCGTATTAAGGTAGTCCTTATGTTTAAGCTGTCATAACTTAATAAGACATCACTGGTACGTAGTTAAAATTTTATTTTTATACATACATATGTATGTGGATACTTTGTTTAACGCGGATGGTTTGAGTGTGGAATTGGGCCACCAAAGTGAATAGTGACAATTGGTTGAAATACCTCGTTCGTTCACATTCATATTGGTGTTTATAGTAACAAAAAGTCAGTACTAATTTGTACTGGAACTTTAAAATTTTTACTGGAAAAGTGTATAATACCTAAAAAATTTACAAG